AGCGTGTACGTGCAATGCGACTCACCTTCCCGTGCCAGAAACAAAAAATCGTAAGTATATTTTTTTTAGAGAAAGCAGCTTGAATTGCCTCGGTAAATCAGGCTTTATCGTCCGTGATAAATTTTAGACAGTATAACGTTTTATGGTAATTTTATTTTTCAAATAAAACGCCGTGCCCAAGATACTGGAATTAAACCTCTTCATGTCGCGTATATAAGTATCTCGGTCAACAAGGTGTAATGCCAGAATTCACTAGGGCGCTGACATAATACAGCTCCGCTATGTAACTAATTTCCTTGTGCTTGCTAGTCGAGCCGCATTGTACGAATAAGCTATCGAAACTGTTGAGTCGAAAATGGGGCATTGGAAAGAGGACGCTAAAAGCCAAGATACTTGTATTTATGAAACGAAGTAGCTTCCGCGAAAAGATCCTTGCCTCTCGAATACAGGGAGTTCCCTTGCCGACGAATCCGGATGCGCGACGACGGAAGTGAAGGATCGTTAGAAGGAAGGCTTCACGCTCGGTTGCAAAGCCAATAAAAGAAGGCAAAAAACAGTTGCGAGGAGCTCCGCAGCGCGAAGTAGACCCGAAGGACGAGTCGCAACCTCGAGAGGCTCATCCGTCGTCCATGCGCTTGTGCACCAGTCTATTTCGAGCGCCCGGGTGGTCCCGTGATTGCATACTCGCGCTGTACTCTCCTGCTCTTCATCGTCTTTTTTTTCTCTTTCTGCTCGCGAGCTTTTGTACTTTTGCTTTCGTTTTCATGACGCTAAACGACAGATGTGTGCTGCGTCACTGCCACCACAGGCATTTGTCTGCCGATTGGTCTTGCGATTGTTTTCTCGCTCTAAAAATTTAATATTTATTTGCGTGCGAAGGACAGTGAACGGATCGTCAATTGAAAATCAAATGTCGATCAATTTCGTTATGGAAGCGATTATCTGTTAATTGGATTTTCTCAATGGACAACTTGCTCTTGTCAATCGTAGTTTGAAAAAATTGAATTACTAGTGTGTCGAGTACTTCGCTAATAGTTAGCAAATGATGTATACTTGTTATCTCCTTTTACACTTTGATCCGAGCCAACGAATGGAAAAAAAAAGAAGTTAGACAATTTCTGGGCGCGTTCTTTTTGCCTTTCTCCAAATTTGCGTATCGGATTTATGACCATACACACTTTTTCTATTTTACACGCTACAAGATACAATTTTCATTGTTCGCTTCTCGACGCGTGAGTAGTACAAAAGAAAGTGCACTTGCCGCATGCAAAAACCGCAAAGCGGAAAGTTCTTCAAAAAAAATCCGAAAAAACCGGTTTCTCATCCCGACATTAAATGAATATTTTTTGTTGGTTTGTTCATGCAAACGCAAACGCCCGTGCGATTTGACTATTTCGTGACGTTCGTTGTCCAATGTCACTATTTTATGTCATTTATGCACTATGTTATTTATGAAATTAACTGTGACTTCTTTGCAAATGCTCATTCACGCGTGAATCGTCGCTCCATCCATAGAAAATATTTCTCGAGCGATCTCCTTACTTCCATCACTTAAATATGAGAAATCGTCAGGAAGTGCTTTGAGGCAGCATCATTTTTGTTGTACGACCCGCGACATCCGTTGGAAGTTTATTTTGCAGTTTCGAGTCCAACGAAGATCCGCAAACATTTCCGCAAGCAGTCGCAAAATCAAGCGTCGATTGCACTCGCAACCGGAATAAATTACATTTCGAAGATATCCCCCCTCCACCTGTCTCGAGTGTAAATACGCGTGACAGCTCTGCGTTCGCATCGGTGGCGCGGAGCGTAAGCCGCTTTTTTCGCGCGCACTATTTGTTCACTTATTTATTTATTAATTTTTTTCATTTGCGAGAGCAGGTTGTGCAGCGCCAGGACGTATTATGAATGTGGAATGCCACGCGGCGCGCGAATCCTTTCGAGACCTTCGGGCGGTCTTTTGCAAGTACCCCGAAACCATCCATCAACGTGACTAGATCTCTCGCGTCGTGTACGTATATACCATTTCGCACTGTTTGCGAGTCACGTTTTTCTTTTGCGTCGACAAAGTTGTTTGCGAGCGAAATGAAAAATAAAAAGGAAAAAAAAATTGCAATGCAAACAGCGTGCTCGTGGAAATTGTCGGGTTTACGACATCTCTCCCGCGGGTGGTATTTCAATATCCAACGTGGACAGCGCAAATATTATTTCATTGGTTTTCAAGGTATATATATATATATATCTCCCCGGTTTTTCATGGAACTTGCGTAGATATTGCGACACGCTCATTGAGTGATAATTAGAGCAATTAAAAAATAACAACAACAACAAGTATTGCCACGCAAAAGTGTGCTTAAAGCGCAATTCATTTGTCAAGATAGCCGGATGGCATCAGTTGTGATAAGCTCGTTAGAAGCGCGAGCCTCAGTCGTCACCGGGCGTACGAAGAAGCAACGCAGCAACGGCAAGTTTTCCGAAGGCGCGCTGTGTATACGTATGCGCGGTCGCGCGAACAGCAGAGAGAAACGAGAGGAGAGAGACGCCGGGCGCCGCCGGCACGACATCCGCCGTCGCGTTTCCGGCGACGCGGAGATGAAAGAGGAAAAAGAAAAAGAGAACACGAAGGCTCAAAGTCGCTCATAATCGCTCGAAGAAGCGAAGTGAACCGGCGCGTCGGGGCGGGAAAAAAAAAAACAAACTCGGCGCGCGCACTCTCGCGCATTATAAATATAAATTGAGGCGAATTAATGCAGCGCGGCTAATTTTAGCGCTTTGCGCGCGCTAACTAACGAGCTCCTGCCGTGCGAGCTACATTGTACGCACGAGAATGTGGCTGCGATTACAGATTATCCTTAGCGGGGGCGGTTCGGAGCTGAACTAAGTGGAAAATTTGCTAAAAGGGCATCTTGATTATTGAACGAGTGACTCGAAAGTGTTGCGAGCGAGGCTATTGGCTTGTTTCACATAAGAATCTTATCGGCCTCGAATGATCGCACACAAGCTTTGGCACTGTTTGAGCATCAATGGTGTACCTACCGAGAAGTGTCTTGGATGTCCTCGTCGAAATGTACATCGCGTTACGTAGCCAATACGAAGTGTTGCGACGAAAGTTGAAGAGCTGAAAATAGTTACGGAAGTAAGGTACTTTACGAAGAACATCGGCCATATATTTGATGAAGGAACGCTTTGTGACGGGCTTTATCCTATTAAGATAGGGAATATCTGAGTAACGCACACAAGATAAGGGAGAGACGAGCGATGGTACGCCCACCCTTTGAACGGAAATAAAGCGGGCATTTTTTACGACTTTCTCCACGGCGTTTGTCCAAATATAGAGACTTCATAAGCGAAGCCGGCCGTTTGAGAAACATCGTTTGGCGCGAGTGCGCACGAGCGAATAAAAAGGCGTCAGCATGGGAAGGCCGCTCACCGTGCTTGCCGCGCGACAGGTACAAATCAGGTCTTACTCTCCCTGTCATTACCTAATGAAACTAATGAAAATTCGATCGATATCCGCGAGAACTCGTTCAATTACGCTACAACGGGAAAAACAGCCTCGGTCGAGATCGTGATGCCGGCTATTGCTTGATCCATGGGAAAATGACCGGAGCAGATGCCTTCTTCCTTCATTGCCATTTCTACGCATTCGCTTCCGTAGCTGGGAATCTCGTACGAGTCCACGTAGTCTCCCTGTCTCCTGTCTATACAGCGAGTCGACTCGTACAAATAAATAAACAAAAGAGCCTCGCCGTCGCTGCTCACTACCTACCGGTGATAAAGGCCTGCCGCCGTCGACGCTGATAAGCCGCGACGAGCGTCATCGACGCCTGTAAATAAAAGGGGAAGCATATGCTGGCTGTCGACTATACGCGTTTATCGTGTGCTCGTTTGTTCGTGTAGTCTGCTGCGTGAAACTCGATTCTATGGGCAATTATTGTTTAATTATCGCTTGCCGTACTTTTATGTTAAATTTTAGTACTCGATGAATTTTATCGTGCAGAATCGAAGAGCTTCAAAAGTGAATTTATTCACGTTTACATACGCATAGTTGCACTATACTTGCTCGCTAATAAAGTAGCTGGCTGATTAAAATTATTAACCGTATACATTCTTGTAAGGATATTTAGCAAAAGTTACATGAATCTCACTGTTTCACGAAAGTTGTGGTAATACTAAGGTTTTTGAAGCAGTACAAAGTAGTGTAATAGAGTATAGATATCATAATAAATTTCTAGGGATTAGGAAAATATGAAAAAATCGGAATGCCTTGTTGACTTTGTTTGTAAATCAACGCTTCATTGGAACACAAATATTCAAAGACTAATATTAATTTGTTTGCAACGAATTCGAAACGACATATTTAATAACGCGATTTCTAAGAAGCAAAAAAGTTTAATACTGCGCCTTGAATATTCACTTTGCCACGAGGATGAGGTCACATTACGATAAATGTCTACTCGTGCAAAATATACGATCCCGTCTCGACTTGAAAACTTGCGATGCTCGCTACTTGTGCCTCGAAAGAAAATAAACTTTCTGATCAATGGCTGCAGTGCAATTAATAAATTGCCACGCCACATACCAAATTGAACTCTCTCCGGCGTGACATTTTCACGTATCAAACAGACGATGGCGACGAAACGATATCGAAGTGTTATCGGTCGCATTGCGATTGCGAACCTTCGCGAAACACCGGTTTCGCAAAACGAACACGGAGACGTAGCGCCGCGACGACAATTCCTAAAAGAGGTATCGACGACCTCTGAGAGAGAATTTGTGTGACGTCGTCGTTAGGAATGACCATCAAGAAGAAAAGGAAAAAGTCGTCCGCTATGGAAGAATCGATGAAGACCGGATTCTGAGTCAGAGAAACGAGACTCGAGCGCTACGGAGCGTTACGGCGCGCTACGGAGCGCTACGGAGCGCTCGGGCGGCAGGCAGCTCTCTGCCTCTAACGCGCCGTGGGGCTTTTTACTCGTCTGCCGCGCCAGTCGTCGAGAGCATGTGTTGCGCTGCGCAGCGCACGCATCAGTAGCCTCTCAGCAGTACTCGCACGCGCAGCGGGCGTTCGCGCAAAAATTGGCCGGTAGCTCGGCTGGCGAAAGCGACGATATTCGCCGATCGGTTGGCAAGGCGGGAACAACCTACGTGTACCGCTCCGAGCGATCTGCCTGTCGCTGGACAGTTTGTGCGCTTGTGCTCGTGGCCAATTACTTGCAATTAGAGTGAATCGTTACCGACACCTTCTCCTTTTCCCGGAACAAGCAGAAGGAACGAGGCGCGAGCGCTGATGCAATTCACTGACTCGTCACTTGCTTAGCGCTTTGTACAGCGTAGCAAAAGCTGTCGATCGCCTAGCAAAATAAAGAGCCGCGAACGCTCGCTGCTATTTAAAAAAATATGACAACCAAGCGGATTCCTGATGGGGCAATTTTTCTTCGTTGCCGGACGTCATCGCGTCGAGCAACAGCTCGACGGTGTAGAGTGGCGGGAGGGAGAATGTAATCGCTGGCAACACTCTGCGATCTGGCAGCGAGTGTGTGCCGCTACTGTTCGCGCGTAGGAAGAAAGGGAGGAGGTCGCATGTACAGTTCAGCGGAAACGATGAAAGAGTATACACACGTGCGGAAAAAAGAGAGTGAAAAGTGAGAGGCTCGCGCCTCGCCTCGAATATCCCCCGCGCAGCTGCACCCGACGTTGCTTTTTTTACATGGTGCTATAAGCATTCAAGGCCACGTATACGCGTATATACCATCGTCCAAAACTACGGCGCACGCCGTCAGTGCCAAGGGGACGACGAAGAGACGCTCGGCTTGTGTAATGTTTTACGAGCACGGGATCGCGATGCGAGTTTCGACGTGTGTGCGTGTGTGTCCGCGTGTGAAGTGATTCGATTTTAGTGCCTCGCTCGTGATGCGACTTCCAAGGACGGCCTTATCGACGACGACTACTTCCACGGCTCGAGGCGCAATTTCAGTTTCGACGACGCAGCAGCAGCGCGCGCGCGCCATTTCAAAGCAGCTCCGAAAATAAACGGCGACGAGCAGCGAAGGTGGCGATCCGTCGAGAGACGCTAATCCTGCGACGACAACGGGGAATAGAAACACAGCAGATATCTCCGACCAATTCGTCGGGCTGTCCGCGCGCGAGCGGCAATGTGGGGGCCGTAGGTCGCCCGCGGTCGCGCCAAGTAGTCGTGGGAAAGAGGACCATGCCGTTGGCCAAGTGCTGTGGAGTCGCCGATGCCTGCGCAGGTAATAAGCCCGAAGCGGCTTATCAGCCGTTGCACCAGCAACTAACGCTACCGCCGCCGACCAGGACCATGGCTTACTACGGCTCCAGCAGTCTTCGAATGTCAAGGGAGGGTCATCCTCGTACGCCGCGCGACCACGTGCGAAAATTGAGTGCCAGATACGATGTCGTCAGACCGGCTGGCAGGGAAAGGTGCTTGCGACTTGCTTATTTTATTTTATTTTTGTTTCTTTCTTTCTCCACGATGGATGGCTTCTTCTTTTTTTTTTTTTTTTTTGAGCAGAGAAACCTTGTTGTTGGAACAGTATACAGACTACCTTTCGAGATTGCTTACGCGATTTTTTCATAAAATATTTTACGGTTGTTGATCTTTGGAATAGCTATTTTTAACAATAAAGATTTTTTTGTTATGGAAGCAATTTTTCGTTTTTATTTTGATTTCATTTTACCCGTCGCTACTTAAAAAAGTTTTCTTTCTAGTTTACGTATAACAATTTGCACAATGAATACGCGTATAAGTTTTTCTTAATACACTCGTCACCGTTTTCATTGAGCAATCACTCAAGGCTTCAGCATTCCTTTAATTATTGAAACTTTTGCTATTTACTTTTTTAAGGCATTCTACGGCTGTAAATCTCTCAAAGTCAGTCAACTATATCAGTGCGCCATATTTCTTTGCGATCTATGATATTTTACGTTTATTGAATGTTGACATACATTTCAAAATAGATTCGAGTTTCTGCGTACAGATGCATCATCTTTTAGTTGCGATTTGACCTTATTCGCTTTACATGTATATTTTATAGCGTTTAAAGTAAGAAGCAATCGATTTCCGATGTAAAGGTTACGGAAATATAACTCGAGTGTAGGATTTACTGTAGTGTAGTAGTTTATGCAAAGAGACTACATGAAATGTACCAAATGATTGCACATGAATATTCAGGAAATTTTCATGGAAACATTGTTTTTCTTTTTTTCAGGTGAGTCGTCGGACCGACGAATTGAATCGTCATTATTTTGTCGGCGTAAAAAGTAGCAGATAGATGGTAAGAATTTCGATGAGCTTACGGTTAAACGTCCGCGAGATACGTTAACAGGCTGGCAAAAGGATAGAATAAGTAGAAATGACTAAAACCACAGGTACACGTGTACTCGCGAGCGCTTGCGCGCGCGGCCACAGCAAAGAAACACCAAATGCGAATGCAGTTTTCGTGCAAGTGCACTTGCAACCCACAACTCGTTAATCGGACTAAGCGCCCTTCCACCCTGTTTCTCCTTGTAATTACCATTTCTGATGCCTGGGAAGCTTTAATCGCACTCGGGCGGCGGGCAAATTACGGTTGCTGTCACTATATTCGAGGAAGGCGAGCTGAACCGGGCCAACAGAAAGAATAAAAGGAAACGTTCGAGAACAGCCAGCAGTCTGTTTGACCAGCTGCCACTCGCGGTCTTTGTTTTTCTCTTTTTTCATTCGATGGGCTATTTATTCAGAACTCTGCGTCCGCTCAATTACGTCTTCAAAGTTGAGGCGTAAACTATTACGGTCAATGGAGCTTTTTCACTCTCCGCACTTGAGATGTATAGTCCCAAAGGGTAACTCGGTACATTGGCGAAACTGTTTTTCAGCTGGTCGCTTTCATTGCAAACTCAGCTTTTAAATCAGCTTCCAAGTGGCTATTCCGGCCTTTTAATTAATTGGAAATTTGACGCGTACACGCGGAAGCCTTCACGAGTACGCACTTTGTCGTGCGTTTTTACTTTTTAGCGGTTTCAGTTGACAGATCAAAGGAAGCTTCAATACATTAATTCACCGTTGAGCGTTATACGCCGAGACAGTGTTGAGCAACTTGCCTAATAAATAACTAACGTGACGTTCGTTCTGATTCAATCAAAACTTTAGCACGCATATTTTTCGAATAATGCAATCATCCGCACGAGAAACTCCGCGTGACTTTCTCTTCGGCGATTCCTCCATTAATGAGCCTCGTGCGCGCACTGCTCATCTTGAATTAACAAGCAATCGGTATAATCGCACGCTAATTATTATTCAAATCGCAAATGCATAATCCATTTCCATTACTCACTGCGACTCCGTCGTAAGCTTAACCTTTGTCGCGCAGGTTAAATCCTCGCCAGCATAGTTTGACCCGCATATAAAACGTCACTGCGGAATCGGAAACCAACGGCAATATAACTAATAGCCGTGTGAAGCACAAGGAAAAGTTGGAAAATGATTAGCTAGTATTTAACGAGCGGAGCTTGATCGATAGAATCTTCGACGTGATTTCCAACAGCCACATCCTGCTGTTAAAAAGACAAGAGCGAAGAGAAAGGTGAAAAATGTCGCTAGTTCGGTGAACTTGCAAAAGAGAGAGAGAGAGAGAGAGAGAGAGAGAGAGAGAGAGTGGAGAATCTGGCCGCTCTTAAAATTCCGTGTTCCTTAGCGTTAAAAGCGAAATTGAACTTTCCGCACATTAGCAAGCTCGTAAGCGTTGGCTCCGTACTTTCTCCCAATTGATTCGTTAGAATCCACAATTGGAATTGAACCTTATCATCGCACGGCCAGAGTCGTCAGTCCAATTACCGCGTTCGCTCTGATAATCGTCCATCATTAATTCACATTGACTGGCAGTAACAAAAGCCACTCTCGTCGAACAGCCCGACGGGAATGCGCAAGGATAGCAGTTTGGTTCGCGTACACCCGAGGAAGGGAGACTGCACGGATGACCGCAATTTTTTTCGGCGCCACCGACGTCACTTTGACAATCGTTTACCTCTCCCGGGGGAGCGCAAATAATTGCACGACAACCGTGCGCCCAAATCGAGGCTATACGCGTGCGGAGCTCTGTTTACCGTGTTTCACCGTCCGGATTCCATCGTGTGGGACGCTTTAAAAATCAACTTTCGTTATTTGACCCGACGCAACGGCGCACTTGACTTCCACCAGCTGTCTAGCAAGGCTCGATAAAAGCCCGGAAATCGCCTGGAACCTTCCCAATTTAGGCTCTAACTAGGTTTCCCTACTGAGCCAACATCATTATTTCCGGATGAACCTCTGAACGGCTAACCGAATTGGTCCAATTAAAATTAACGAATATTTGCATGTTAAGCGCCCTCGCCGGGGCCGAGCAGCCAAATAAAATGCGATCAGCTTGCGAACACGCGGAGTTTGAGATCGAGGATGAATTTCCGCCGGCGAAAAGAGAAAGAGTGCGCACATGCGCAAAAGCTGCACTCCGCTCGAGCTGCTTCTTCGCTGCGAGTCGTCGGCCGACGCGACCTTCAGTTGCGGCGAGACTGCCGCATCGCGAATTTCGAGGAGCGATTATACGAACCGTGCTGCATACGTCCTGTTCCAAAGTTCAAGCCCAAGATTTGCTGACCACGAACCGTGAACATTTAGTTTAACATTAGAAATCGTCGGCAAACGCGTGAGAGTTGCCGTGGAACGCTAGCATACGATGACGATGCCACTGAAGAGCTTCAATTCCACGTCAATTGGATTTTAATCTTTTATGCATGAATTCGTGGTAAACTATGTAACTATACAATCATGATAATTACAACTAGTTTGAATTTATTACAAATTCTGAAAGTACGGGAATAAATTTAGTTTATGCATGATCTCACTTCGTGAAATTCTTTTCCTTATTACAATACTGTGAAAGGCATTTTCATTTCGGCCGTGAAACGAGTATACGATTTTTTTTTTAATAATTAATAGTATGTTCAAAATTGTAAAAGATCATTTTCAACAGGCCTACGATTAAATTCGTGATTGCACATTTGATTCATCTGCGACAGCATATTATTGGCTGATCCAACGAAAAAAAGAAAGATAAAGAATGAACCTTTTCGGCTTGTAAGTTGTCATTACGGCAAAGTAACGAGCGTCTGCTCTACTTGAATCGCGCGACTCGAGATACCCAATGACCCTCAGAGCCCATGAATAATTACAATATAATAATGGCCTCCTTCCCGTCGCGGTCGCCGGCAACAAGGAAGTATCCCGCTACACGAGAGGCGCACATGGTGCAATCCCGTGCGCGCGAACGGTGAAAGTGAAAAAATAATTGCTGCGGCAGTAGCGTGCGACTTTGCATCTCCCACGCGCGCGCAACCGACGTATCCGGGCCTTCGCTCGTACATCCACCGATCGCTCGCTAAACAATTAATCCGCGCGCGCGCTATCGGGTTACACCTGCGCGTGTGAGATTTTCTTTTTCTTTTTTTCGTCGTTTTGTTCTTTTCGCGCGAATTTTGATGATGATCGCACCTTTCTGTGGCAATTCAGACGCGAGACGTCGTGAAGTTGCAAATTAAGTAGTTTTAGTGTGATGGCGATCCAGACAGTACTACAAGTAATTAACTGTAGTGTGCGACTGGATCGTATGTTTCAATTTTTGGGAAAATTTCAGTGGTCGAGAAATCGACGTGTTTTAGAAATTTCGTAAAATAATTTTGAATTGAATAGTGACTACGTCTCACAAAACAAGGAAAGTAAACCAATAAACCGTGTTCTAAAATGTAACTGCGTGAAAAGTCTTCTCATTTTCATTTTCTGATTTCTATTGTTTCCGTCTCAACTTGTAAGTCTAATTGAGAAAGTTTTTGACAACCGTCACGTCAAGAAAAGTCTGAAGCTGACTTCGTGTCATAAATATCAGAACGAGCGTTCTATAACAGTACAAAGTTGGGTGAACTATAAGATAAGTCACTTGCAAGACCACATCATTAATTCTAATGGCTCGTCTGATGGCTAGAAAACATTGATAACGATTAAAACTTTCAATACTTTTAAGATAATTACTTTTCTTGGTCTCGCCTCGCGCTGATCACTAATATGTTGATAAAGACGCGCCAAGTTATGGAAAAGAGCATAAATAATTCATGTCCTTTTCCATTCGAGTACTCACATTAATTATATCCGAAAGCCTCAAACTTTGTCCAATTATCGCTTCGACAACCCCCCTCCCCGTCGGAGTTTGAGAGATTACATTATTATCCAACTGTGTCGATTCAAAAGCGATTGAACTTGCGTTATCGGGTTTCTAACAATCGTCAACGCTTTCCAAAGACAACTTGAAAAACAGTTAGAGTGCAGAAAGCAAAGGAAAAATATTATGATTGCGGAAAAATTATTGCTTTCTCTTAGATCAATCATTTATTTGATTATCGAAAGGAACCGATGA